CATGTTTTCGATTGAGAAAAGACCAACTTGGCTCTGCAGCTGTGCCTGGACTTGCTCCTTCTTTTCTGTTTCTTGTTGCAGCTCACGATGAGCTTCTCTAAAGTCAGTAACCTGTCTCCTTAAATGTTCATTTTCATACTGTAGCTGCCCAATTTCATATTTTAACTGGCCATTTTCATATTTTAAGTGGCCAATTTCCTCCCTTAGTCTTTCTTTGTCTGTTTCTAGTTGTTCCTGCACTTGCTTGACTTCTTCCCTCAGATGTTCCTCTTCTCATCTTGTTTGGATTCTTTTTGGCCCTGTTGAAATTTAGCATCGTGATCCTTCTGTTTCTGCATTGTATACTCTTTAACAAAGAGCACCAGTTGTTCAGGAAGGAACACTCGAGTATGATTATATGGTACTTTAAAAAGCTTAGTACCATGATTACCAGTGACTTCAATGTTAACACCATCAAAATCTTTTGAAGGATCAATTTTTTGTCCTAAAAGAGATAAATAGAAATTAAAAATTAATTTTATTCATTACATTACTTACTGTTTCTATTCCTACTATTGGAAGAGGATCAATTTTCATGTCTTTAGAGATTCTAATTGGTCCCACCCACCTCACTGTACCAGCAACTATGTCTTCTTTAACTGTCTGTAATATCACACGATCACCTTCTTTGAATCGTGACTTATGACCAGATACATCTCCTGCTTCAAATCTTACTCCCTTTTCTTCTGTGTTGTCTTCAATGGAGAAAATTGTCTCTTTTACAAGATCTTTTACTCTATCTTTAACACTTTTAGGTTGACCACTGGCAGCAGTAGGTTTTGTTTGGCTTCTGATAGTTGGTTTAAGCCCCCCATACACTAGGCAACTAGTGTATGGGGGGCTTTAGGTTGCTCTGTGAGAGGACATTCAGGTAATCTCTGACTAGTAGTACAAGGTGGATCTTGTTTCTTGATTATCTTATCCATAGCAACAAAGACAGCATTGTTGGGTCTACAAGTGAAATGAGGTCTACCATTACTGGTGCCTTTACCACGATATGCTTGATCCTAAAATGCAATAACTACATTAAAACAAAAAGCACAAAACATGCTACACTCACTTGAATTTCAATACCAAAGACTATTCCATCACTATCAGGATGAGGACCAATAGAACATATTGTACCATTGACTTGTGCATGTGGTGTTGTGGCTTTTGATGTGGAAGACTGACTCTAACTTTAATTTGAAGATAACTTTATCACCAACAATCAGATCCATCTTCATCTTCTTATCCACTTCATTTAAGTATTCCTTTACTCTTACACTAGTTGGTTGTACTGCTTGTAGATATTCTATTTCTCTTTCTTCTAAAGGAATCTGATCAATAGGTTCAACTTGCAGCAGAACTACAGGATCACGATATAGTCTCGCGTAGCCAGACTCCTCCCCTTTTTGACTTGGGACGGAGACTAATCACGATAAAGGCGATAATTATAAGTGAAACCCTTGATTTGACGCATCTCCTCTTGAGGTATTGGTACAATAAGGTCTCCTCTGTATACTTTACAAGCCCACTGGTCTTCTTCTTCTTGGATTGAGCCATATCCAATCTTCTCTTTCATTAGAATGGAAGCCATTGCGTATTGAGAGGTGTGGCACATAATCATGTATAGTATCATACATGATACTATACATAGATCTGACGTATTTCTTCCTTCGGTTGTTCAATTACAAATTCTCCTTTAGATACTTTGCACTGGAAAGGAGCTCCATCATCTTTAAAATAAAAACCACTTTTATCTTTCAGTAAAATCGACAATGTAACACTGGTAGCCATTAAGTTTAAGTTTAACTAGAGGGGTGTGACTGAAACAACACAGTTAAAATCTATGAATGAAAATTCATTATTGTAATTTCAACAGTATAGGACCAGTTCCTAGTTTATTAACAGTCCTAGGTAGTCCATTGGTCATATCATACTGATGAGTGAGGTATGAGTGACACACATCAAGCAATAAGAATATCTGACTAATACAATAAGTTAATGTTAAAGCAAAGAAGAAGTTAGCATTAGCACTTCTAGTCTGTATCCATAGATACCAGGTGATGGGTCCAGCTATTGAACTGACTAGTACACAACCTATTGTAACTGGAGTGAACCTCATATCTGTAATAAAATTAACTATGACAGTGAAATTATAATAGATTAAAAATAAGAATTTATTATTTAAACAAGAGGTACAAAACCTTTAAGACTAACATCAGTAAAACTTTCATTAAAAGTATCTAAAACATACATCATGTCTACCCTATCAGTCACTGAGTGCCTAGTACAGGATAATATCAACTGATGCATCAACGACCAGCTGCC